TGAGTCTGAGAGCAACTACTCAGAGCCTTGGACCCGGCCACCCCTCCCCCTTCCAGCTTCAGCGGCCACTGTAAAAGCTGCCAACTGCACACGTGGAGGAGGAGGCTGCGTGGGACAGGGGCAGTCCTGCGGGATGGGGAGGCCGTGCCGTGCGCAGTGGTGGCACAGCCGGAGATGCACGCTACCAGAAGCCCACCCCTGCTGGCAAAGCTCCAATGTGAGCTGCCTACGGGCTCTGCAAGGGGCAGGGGAGTAGAATTTTTTCACGGACCCCTTGCACCATTTGGGAAGCATTGCCCTAGGAAATTTGCCGGTATCTAAAGTTTTCTGGATGGTTAAGTGTCGGATAGTGCAGGTTTTATTGTATAAAGCTAAGACCAAGAGACAAAAGCAAGCTGGCATCTTTCTAATATGACTTGACTCATATTGATGGTTCTTGATGGATATTCTTGGATCATTTCTCAATGCAATAAGTTTCCATAACCAAAAAGTGGCAAATACAGTGGTACTCGTAAAATATAATTAGATGCTTTATTCTAACTGAGACACTTTTCACAGGAGAAGAAATAGATACGTCGGCAACTGCACCTACATCTGCTGGACATGAGGATTTATGATCTACATTCCAAAGCAAGGCATTAATAGCTGTGCTTTAAATTATTGGACTGATGTGCTATTTACCTGATCTATGGAAAGGGTGTTGAATATTCAGGTTTCCATTATGATTATGTTGGTAGAGATGAATTGCCCTCCCAGCTGCATTTCTTCATTCACTTAAATAAATGCCACTTTTATACAGGTTTTTTTTAAACTGTCAAACGATAAACCTCATTCTAGATGGATAAAATACAAAATGTGTTTGAATTGCTATATTTTGATTTAAACAGTTTATTCCTAAGCAAACTGCTATTTCTCTATTTTGGCATCTTTGGGAATGATTATCCTTTTATAAGGAGTTAAGTCTATCTCAAACTTCATAATTCAAACAAAACAGATTCACCATCTGGGGGCTTCTGACATGAATATTTTTTCTAAAAGCCACATTCTAGTATAGAAACTGTAAAAGGGAGTCTTTTGGAAAACTCTTCTCTTAAAACTGAATGCCTAATACTTCATTCAATAAAGATTTATTTTGACTGGTATGTTTCTTAAGTTATATCCTGCCTTAAATATAAATTACAGGGGAAAGTAGGTGAAAATAGATTATTGTACTTTCTAGCTTCAGTAAAAGGAGAGCCTGTCTCTCCCTATCGAAGCATGCTTACTGGCATGATTCTTCAAGAAGTTTCTCTGAAATCAGAGTTCAAATTTCTCCTAAATAAAGTGTGATTACAGTAAATGTTGGCATTGTACTGGGTGCTGTACACTTGTAAGCAGCTATCCCTTTGAAGTGGATAGTACATAGCAGGGGTGGGGAATTAAAGCCTAAAGGCCAGCTTTGGCACCTGAATTGCCTGGATCTGGCCCCCTGAGGTTTGGGCCCTGGTAATTGAGGCGCCTGTGCTGGTACTCCAGGCCACCTTCCATTACCCTGTTGGTCTGGAGCACACAAATTCTACTATTGTAGCGCCCCTCCTCTCCCCCCCAGGGCTCTGGTGTGCAAGGGGAACTTGAAGAATCCTCCTTCTCAGTCAGGAGTCATCTGAGAGGGTTGGGTTTTTTGCTTCTCATTTGTAAGCAGGGCCTCCCCCCATCCCACTGATTTTTGCTTCAGTGGCCCCTGAACCAAAAAAGGCTGCCCATCTCTGCTACATAGAAACAACAGTACTACTCCGTGTGTGTGTGTGTCTAGTGCACCATATGTGAGGATCTTGCACTTGACAAAGCAATAGTTATAGTTGGAACTAATATTACGGTTTGTATTAGTTCTTCCTTTTGTAGTCTTAGCTTTAGTGAATTGCACCAGATATAGTTAAAGCAAGGTTTTTGGTTGGGCCACAGAAAAATCAGTTGTGGCACCACACGAAAGTGAGACGCAACCCTCCCAAAACAAAAAACCCACCTCACTGACATGGCCCCGGACTGAGAGGCCTACTGGGCAGCTGGCTTGAGGGGTGGGGTCTAGGCTAGGCAGGAGGGATGTGGCTGGGGTTTGGGAAAGTGCTAGGATGCAGGAGTGGACTGTGGGAGGGCTGGGCAGCGTGCAGGAGCAGTCTGTGGACTGGGGCTTGGGGAATGTCTGGGTGGGTACTTACCTGGCTCAGTATCCCCTGCCATTCCCATTCACTGTCCCCTACTGCTCGTAATGACTGCTCCTCTGGGGAAAAACCAGTAGCCTGAGTCTCAGAAAATCGACTGTCGTCTTATTGACAAAATGAAATAACTTACATTCTTAGAAGTGAACAATGGGAAAAAATTGATTGAAAAAGTGAAGGTGGTAGAGCTCACAATAAACAAGACATTTTGGGTTCACCTTACATTCACAATGTGCCTCAAAAGTTACCAATCAAGGCTTAATGCACTGGGAAAAAATTAAGAAAAAATGGTGAGAGTAATGAGCAAGGATGATAACCATAGGAGCTACAGCCTCAAGCACTCTGAGAAGTGAGATGGTGTTTATAGTAATCAAACATGAAAGAATTAGAGCAGGAGCATTCGCAGCAACAGAAGGAAAAAGTATCTGGGTCAGTGTTCCCTATAAACTTGTGTGGCCACTCAGATTTCAATGATGCCCAGTTGATTAGGAGAGTGTCCACGACTGGGTTTTGTTTCTAGTGGTGGTGCACATAAAACTGTATTCTGTACCTGGTTGGAAAATATTAGAGGGAACACTGATCTGCGGTGTTATCTACACTGCAGAATTTTATTGCTAAAAGAAGTTTTTGACAAAAAGGAGTGGAGGTGTACACACAGCAACTTGTGTTGACAAAACTACCTCATACAGAGCTATGAAGTTTTTTCTAGCAAACTTAAAGTGACAAAATGTCAGTGTAGATGCTGCTGTTCTTTATATCTCCTAACTGGCCTCCTTCTGTATCACACAGCTCCCCTGCACACATATACCCCTCCCCTTTCAAAGCTTTGAGGAGTTCTGACATTTGTGTGTGCCCCTCAGACACAAAAAAGCAAATCATTAATGTAGAATTCTGCTGTCTCCTGCACTAGGACCGCAGAGGCAGGTGTGTGGATGTGAGAGAGATTGTACAAAGCAAGGGATGTGGGGACTGGTTGCTTCTGACTGCTTTTTGAATTTGAGGACAGCATGCTGATACACTCATTTTCTCCAATGCACACTGTCTCTCATCCACTTACACAACACATGCTCATTCTGTGTGTCACCTTTCCCCACCACAAACTTCAATTGAAAAGCAGCTAGCAAACTAGTAGGATGCCCATGGAATGATGGGATTGGGAAACCTTTCTCGTTACTCTTTACTTGTCTCAGAAGGCATTGCAAACCCTTCCCAAAGCACCCGATAGCCAGTTGCACTCTGGGATAGCAGTGTGCTATTCTCCGTACAAGAGCTACGGGCTACTATGGATGTGTTTCACTGATATACTGAGCATAGTGTGGATAAACAAAAGGGCTGTGTCTAGACTGGCAAGTTTTTCCGCAAAATCATCTGCTTTTGCGGAAAAACTTACCAGCTGTCTACACTGGCCGCTTGAATTTCCCCAAAGCACTGATGATCTCATGTAAGATTGTCAGTGCTTTTGTGGAAATACTATGCTGCTCCTGTTCGGGCAAAAGTCTTTTTCCGAAAAACTTTCGCGCAAAAGGGCCAATGTAGACAGCAGAGATTTGTTTTCCGCAAAAAAGCCCCGATCGCGAAAATGGCGATTGGGGCTTTTTTGCGGAAAAGCGCGTCTAGATTGGCCACGGACACTTTGCTGCAAAGAGTGCTTTTGTGGAAAAGCGTCCATGCCAATCTAGACGTGCTTTTCCGAAAATGCTTTTAACGGAAAACTTTTCCGTTAAAAGCATTTCCGGAAAATCATGGCAGTGTAGACGTAGCCAAGCAGTTTAATTAAAGCAGCATTACTTTTGGCAACAAAATTCTGTAGTGTACACGTAGCCTCAGAAACATGAAGGAAAAAGTGGCAGTAATGAACATTGCCTGGTTTTAGGGGAAGAGAAGTAAAGATGACCCTGAAAGGGCCACCTTTCAGGCAGGAATAAAGATGAAGGGTTATCAGCAATGATAAGGTTAGAGGGTTTGGAAGGGAAAATGCCACAGCCAAATTCCACATTAAGCTCAAGGTTATGTATGATAGACTGAGATGGATTTGAATCAAGAGAGACTAATCAGTATTGGAGTAATTTGTGCAGGGATAGAAGCTGAAGTCATAGCACCAAGAAACAGTGTGAAGGTAGAGCCTTGTGGTGGGTGGGCAGGTTGCTGCTGCTGGGGGTTGGAGCCAGGGCTGCATGGCAGGTGTCTGCTGCCAGGGGTTGGAGCTGCAGCCATGTGGCAAGTGAGAGAGTGGCGCGGGGGGTGGGAGCCACTGCTGCAGGGCAGGCGGCAGCTGCTCCGGTGGCCTCAGCCAGGGCCAGAACCGGAGCCACGTGTTGGGCGGCAACTGAGAGGCCTCTCTGAGGCTACGTCTACACTGCAGGGTTTTTAAAGAGTTCTTGCGCAAAAACTTCTTGCACAAAAGCACATCCATACCTCAAAGCTTTTGTGCAAAAGAAGCGTTTGAGGCCATGAGCTGGAAGGTTGCTGGCGCCAGGGGTTGGGGCCATAGGCAGGTGGGAGGGTTGCTGCCGCCAGGCGTTCGGGTTGAAAGGATTCTTCATTCCTATAATTAAAACAGAGAAGGGAAAGGTACCAAAAATTAAATGATCAGAGTTGAGAACAGATCCTGAATGTTAAGCCCCTCTTGCTGCATATGCTAGATGAGTGAATCACTGCCCAAGAATGCACACCATAAGTAAGTCTGGAGCGAAGAGCTGTACTGTGTCTTTTATTGCAGCCTTGAAGTATAGGAGGTATTGTGAGCTCGAGGAGAGAAGGTAGGACTATTGCAGTTTGCTTTGATCTGTGCCCAGCTGTGTTGACGACTTCCTGTGTGACTTCAGTCACTTTATTGACTACTCTGTGCCTCAGTTTCCCTATCTATAACAAAAGTACATTGTGCCTCAGAATCATCACAGAAGGTGGTGATTTAATGTGGGCAAAGTGGCATGACACTGCCAGAGCAAATAGGAAACAGTTATCTGCTACATTGAGTGTCTAATCTTGCCTTAGTAGATCAAGCTATAGTCTTCCTCCCCATCACCAGAGCACCAAATGTATATCCATGCCACCCCTGCCCTCAGCTTCATGCTCTCCCTCCCCCCTTTGCCCAGAGCTGCTTCTTTGGCAGGGGAATTCTCCCATGGGTGGATGCTACAGTGGCACACATCGAAATATGATCTCATTGTTAGCGCACAAGACAAAACTCACTCCGCTCATAGATGGAAAATCTTAGAGGGAACACTGCTATCAAATATGCAGTTTCAAAAACCTGTCTTTATTCATCCTTAACAGTGAACTTGCTCTCTCCAGTTTTGTGAAATGATTGCCCACTTGTGGTGAGTTACTACTCACTGCTCAGCTCTAAGTGGCTGTTCCATCAGTTACTTATACCATATTTGATCTTACTATGTTTTTGTTCTTTGTGAAAACTAGCAAATGACTTATTGAACTGAATGTTTTTTTCATTCTACAGCTGTAGTATAGACAAAGCAGCACTTATTTCTTTTAAAGCAAAGCATTTCCATTAACTAGTATTTTAGTCGCTAGCGTTTGACAGCATGTGACTGAAACTCTTTTTTTAGCCATAGCACAGGCAACAGTAAATTATTTTATATTCTTCCTACCATATGATTTAAGTTAAACTTGATTTTGCGCAAATACTTGTAACGCAAGAGTTTTTGCGTTAAAGTATTTGCGCAAGAGAGCATCTACACTGGCATGTGCCTTTGCGCAAGAGAGATGCTTTTGCGCAAAAGCATCCATGTCAGTGTAGATGCTCTCTTGCAAAAGAAAGCTCCGATGGCCATTTTAGCCATCGGGCTTTCTTGTGCAAGAAATTAACGTTGCTGTCTACACTGGCCTCTTGTGCAAGAACAGTTGTACAAGAGGGCTTATCCCTTAGCGGGCGCATCAGAGTATTTGCCCAAGAAGCACTGATTTCCTATATTAAAACGTCAGT